GGACATCGCTCATGATACATATTCTCCGATGGTAGAGCGATCTTCAATAGTAACCACATGTCCCCGCAATCTCTCGGCCTGGAATTTTCCAGTCCAGAAGAACAAAGGAGGTCTGCAATATGAGAAACGTGCGCAATCTTGACCTCCGATGGACAAAGTTCGCCGGAATCCGAACTTCTAACATATGCTATAAAGAGTTCTAAAGCTGCCCGTTTGTGCGCTAACTGTCGACAACCACCATTCCCCTCTACGCTGTTCGCTCACCGCCAGCGCACCTGCTTTTTCCTTTGCGGTGTTCTGCTTTTCTATTTGTCTGGCTTGTAGTCCGCCGGTGTCCGAAGTTCCCCATTTGCTGATTGTTGGCGGTGTTGTTTGTTTTCGAATGCATCCTCCGCTACGTCTGGTGCAAGCACAATGTCTATGTCAAGAGGCGCGGAGCAGCCTACAGGGACCTCGGGAAGGGAGTCGACGAACGCAAAATCGTGGTCGAATCATGCGCACACGAAGTGGTTCGTCGATTGGTGCTTCGCCGAAGATGACGAGCCCATGAAACTGCCTTGCGGTCCTGTCATCTTCGTGGAAGACAGAAAAAAACGAAGAGTGCTCGGCTCGGTCAAGGAATGGCAGCCATCGAAAAACCACGACAAGCAGTGCTACCTGATGCATGTCGTTTACAATTCGAAGGGCGACGCTATGGCATGTGCGAACGGGGCGATTCTCTCGTGGGATCTGTTCCAGGGGTTTGGTGGGGGGGCTTCGAGGACCACTTTCTACACTGAAGTCACGGAGGGAGGTCTTGTTTCGGCCAGGTAGTTTTTTGACGAGGTCGAGAGGAGCGACTTCGACCTCGACGATCCCTGCCAAATTTTGAGCGACCTGGAACTGTTGTTTCCTGTGCAAATGTGCTCCGGGTTCGTTTCCAGTGGTTCAGTACAGCCCCGACAGGGTGAGGAAATGGGTTCCGATGGTTCAGTACAGCCCCGGCAGGGTGAGGAACGCGGTCACTTCGATGACAGCGAGGAGGAAGAAGAGGAGGACACGCGAGTTTTGCTGCAAAGACTCGGAGATTGCGGGATGCTGAGAATTTACGGGGCTGAGAGAGGGGCAACAGTCGTCGAGCAGCCGTCGTCGTCGGGTGGCCGTCTCGGCTTGGGGTCGGAGGACAGGACAGTTGGCGTCGTTTCCGGCGGGGAGGGAGGGGAACAACAGTCTACACAAAAGAGAAGGGGAGGTTCTGAGGGGGAGGAGTCGGGAGGTAAAAAGAAGCAGAAGACAAAGACCCCACAGCAGTCAGGGGGAAAAGGAAGGGGGATGAGGGGCATGCCGGCGTGTCGAGTCAAAAGCGTCCGGCCTCGGCTCAGAAGCCACCCCAGTCGGCCCCTGTCCAGCCCAGAGGTGTCATCAACATCGATGCGGCATACTTCCTGGAATGGAAAAACGGCGTGCGAACAAAGCGGGAGTTCGCCATTAACCCGTCGCAAGTCATCGACATCCGCGAGTGGGAGGCGGCATACAACCAGCGTTCCTTGGATCCCGTGCAAATACAGGCCATTATTGACGCAATGACGACGGCCTACTCTCAGACCGAGAAGACTTACGAGCTGCCGACATTAAAGCTCGCGCCTCTCGGGCTGGTTAAACTGACGCCCGGGGTGCGGGCGGATCGTCTGAAGCCGGAGGACTGGAAGGACAAGCTGGCAGGGCAATACTACTACTACATTGTGGCGGGCCAGCATAACGCGGCTGCGGCCAGGGCGCTGCTTGGCACCGATGTGGCGGTGAGGTACAACTTCGAGCGCTGGCCTGCACAAATGGTGTACTTCTCGGACGAGGACTTTGAGGGGTACTTTCTGGTCAGCGCCGAGGACAACAAGAAAGACCTGAAGGCCCCTCCGAGACAGCTGAAACTCTCCATGAGAGACATTCGGTGGTGTTGGAAGGAATTGGGTTTCCCGAAAGCTGTTATGGGTAACCCCAGCGGGAAACGGGCGCAGGTGGAGACATGGCGAAGATTTTGTGCGGAAGCGCTCCACAGGACGCCGTACAATCACTTGTGGACTCTCGCCGATGACAAGACCGAGCAAGGAATCAAGAAACAGAACGCTGCCCTTCGATCCTATTTCCCGCTCGCGATGGCAGGGAAAAGCACATGGGAAACTGGGATGAAATTTTTCGAGAGATGGGAAACGGGCAGATTGCTGGCTTCAGAAGGAGCGAAGTGGATCGCGAAGAAGAAGAAGGTGCACGGCCTCAAGCCAGGTGTGAGCCACATCGAAAACGAGAAGGACGGGCGAAAGGTGGTCGTCTACAATGTCCCCGTCGAAGGGCCACAAAAGAAAGGCAAGAAGGAAAAAGAGCCAGGCGACTGGTTCGTCCACGTCACCGAGCCAGATCCGCACTGCTGGAAGAGCATGGAGGCCCTTACCGACAATGAGAAATGCCGGTTGTTGAAGAAGGTTCTCAACTGCGAGGTGGTCTGGGTGCAGACAGGGTCCTCCGCGTTGGCGAAGCAAGGGAAGCTGGGGATGCAAGAGGCAGTGCAACTGGTGAAGTGCGATCGCATATTGGTGCGGTTGTGGAACTACTACCAGTTCAAGCAAAAGAACCGGCCAGACAGTGACTGGACCACTAAGTACCCCTTCCTGAAAAAACGAGAGGCGGTTTTGGCAAAGTTTGAAGGGCAGGGGCTGGATGCAGCGTTGTGGGACGGGAGCAGGAAACTTGTCAGCGACTCCTCCTTGTTCAAGGACTGTCCGCCCTACATGGGTTGCGAGGACGACAAGTCGATCAAGGCGACAGAAAAGCTAGTCCAAACCAAGAAGTTGCCCATCGACTGGAAGAACAAGTCCTCTCCGTGTTGACCGGCAGCAGGTCGAAAAGCATGGAAGTCGCGCTGGCCGAAGGGATAGTGCACATTCTGTGGAACGACTCGAAGGACGTCACAACTATTGCCCCGTTCGGCGTCGACCCTTTGGATGCGCAGATGAAGGTCGTGGAGTTGGAGAGGGCGGTCGGAATCACGAAATGCCACACGTGCGTTCTCGACTTGTGCGAACCGGTGGACATCAAACAGTGGACAACTAAAGTCTTCGAGAGTTTGAATGCCCTCCTAGTGCACTTGTTCCCCTCGCACTGGACAGTAGTCGCGTTCGTCCCCCGTGAGCACGACTACTACTTTATGACCAGCCTGCACCATCTGTCCGTCGTGAAGGCAATGGCCGGGAAGTAGGTGAGGAGGACGCAGCAGAAGAAAAGTTTCGGTGTCGGCCACAACTTGTACTCCTTGGACGACCGCATGTACATCCTTTTCAAAGGCGACGACTTGCGGGAGAACACATCTGTTGTCTACGATGCGAGGTTGGCAGCGGGTGATGCTGCCGCGGTGGGGGCACTTCAGAAAGTGACTCCCACTGAGATGTCCGACATGTCGTTCGACGCTTGTGAATGGTCCGTCGTGATACATGGGCGTGATCCCGTGGTGTACAAGGGCCATGA